ATGGGCAAGGTGCCTCCGCCTCTGGGGCTGTGGTTGAGGAGTGTCCCTTCCTGTCCCCTTCCCCTGCCCCGGAGTCCAGGTCTCTAATGATGAGGAGGTGGAGCCAAGGGGAGGGACCTTCAGCCTGTGGGACCCTCAGGCACAGGCGTGGTTGTTGTTCCTGCCCAGGAGGACCCCAGCCTAGGAAGGCAGAGGGAGGTGTGTCTGGCAAAGGAGGCTCTGCCCTCTGTGCCAGGTGGAGCGGGGCGACTGTGGCTTGGTCTCCTTGGCAGTGCTCAGACTGGCCAAGGTGTGGTCGTCCTAAGCACCCCTTGTCACCGATGAAGAAACTGGGGCTCCAGGAGGTGAGGCGCTGGGGTCAGAGCCCGGGGGTCTGACTGCGCGGGCCGGGCCCAGCCCTGTGTGGTAGGAAGCAGGCTAGATGGAAGACCTGGGAATCAGCCTCCTGGGTCCCCCTGTGGGGAGACAGCTGGACTGAAGACCAGGGAGACACAGCGAAGCCCACACTGAGGGTCGATGGCCGAGATGTGTAACAGCCACTTGGCTCGGTGTGGAAGGAGCAGAACAGCTGCTGGCCAGCCAGCCATCCCCACAGCCCCTTGATGCTCAGCCCTGCCCTCTGCTGGAGGCAGGAAGGGGATTGGGGCAGGTCTTCTGCACTTCCCCCGTCCTGTCCCGTGCAGCCCTTGGTTTGCAGGCCTCAAAAGAGATCTGGAAAACAAGGCGAGGCAGCGCACACTATAATCCCCGCACTTTGGGAGGCTGAGGCAGGAGGATGGCCAATTTGAGCCCAGCCTGGGCAACTTGCTGAGATCCTGTCTCTAAATAAAAAAGGACTGGGATGTGGCTCAGTACAGAGGCCCTGGGGGGAAAAACCTGGAAAGAAGGGCATAAGGGTTCGGGTGTGGGAGCCCAGCCTCCCCCTGGACAGGGCAGAGTAGGGAGGGGAGGGCTGCAGAGGAGAGGCTCCGGCTCCAGGCCTGAGTCCTTGGCCTGCCCTGAGCCTACACCTGCTGCTCGTCACCAGGCCATGTGGAGTTCGTATCCTGTCCCACCCACGCACTGTCCCACTCCCGGGCTGAGGCCACAGTGGTCCCTACCGTAGCAGGGCCAGCAGTGGACTTCAGCAGACGCCACGGGCACCTAGGGAAGGCACTGAGGGAGGACACAGGAGGGGGTCCTCGAGGGCTTCCTGGAGGAGGGGATGCCTGTGGCAAGCCCTGGAGACGAGCAGGAATGAAGCAAGCAGCAGCGAGGGCGCAGAAGGGCTGGCACCAGGGGAGACGTGCTAGAGACCCTGGAGATGGGGAGGACGGTGCCGCCACTGCTGCTTCCAGAGCAGGGCCTGTTTGATGAGCTGGGGCCGAGCTGGCTGCTGCACAGAAGGCTCCTGCCCACCTGCCCTGTTCACAACCCACCTGCAGACCTTCCCATGCATCCAGGGCTGAGTCTGACCTCGCCACTCACCAGCCGCCACCTGCAAGTCCCCTTCCCACCGGCCGCCTCTGTGTCCACCTCTGGAAACCAGGGGGACGCCAGTACCCGCCTCACGGTGCCTGTGGGTGATAGTCAGAGAGTACGAGGCCAGACCCAGAAGCCACTAGACAGTTCTGCCTAGTGTTCTCAGATGGAGACCAGGGCTGCCTGACCCCAGGAAACCCTGCCCGTCCTGCCCTCAAGTTAAGCAAGGCCTTGGGGTGCTGTTGAAGGGCACAGGCTCTGAACCCCGAGCCCCTGGTTCAGGTTTGCTTGGCGATTTTCTCTTTGAATGGCCTTGGGTTCAAAACCTGGTGTCTGGTGTGTGCCTCAGTTTCCCCCAGCACAATAAGAAGGGCTTATTCTAGGTGGTCTTGAAGTGTTCCCCTGATCCTGAATTTGACACTCGAGTACCTACGGGTGCACCCCCTGCCTGGCTCTGCCTCTTCCAAGGTGCAGATGGCACCAAGCGGCGGGAGGAGGAGGAAGAAGAGGAAGAGAAGGAGGAGAAGGTATCCAGGCCTCAGAGCCGGGCCCACGGCAAACGCATTCGGTGCCCGTCAGCTCGTCCACTGGGCTCCAAGTGCCTGGGTGAGCAGGTGGCAGGGACAGCTGTGGTCCCTTTGCCTCTTAGGGTGTGAGATGCTCCCTTGCTTGCTGAGGCGGGAGCACTGAGTGCCCCCGTGTGCCAGGCTTTGGCCCTGCTGGGTGGCCGCATCACACCTTGCTGGGCTGATATGGGGATTCGGGGCCATCGAAGTCTACATTGCACTGCTTGTTGCAAAAATTAAGTGAGGGCCAGGCGTGGTGACACACACCCATAATTGCAGCGCTCGGGAGGCTGAGGCAGAAAGATCACTGAGAGTTCAAGGCCAGCCTGAACTATGTAGCAAGACCCTGTCTCAAAAAACAATTAAAAATTAAGTGAGACAATATGTATAAAGCATCTGCTGCAGTACCTGGATCCCCAAACAGTGGCTAGGATTATTTTTTTAATCTTTATTTTATTTTAAATTGATAGATAATAATCATATGTGGGGTACAGTGTGATATTTTGATATGTACTTTACTGTTAGCATTAATAATAAGCCTCATAAAGAACCCTTTGAATAGGACTTAACCTTTCTTGTGGATGAGGAAAATGGAGCCTACCATGTGCTGGGGGAGGAAGTAGGAGCTACAGAAAGTACCCAGACCATCTCCCCACACCCACAGAAACTCCCAGAATGCTTTGCCCAGGCCCGCACAAGATGCTCCGACCCCCTTCGAGCAGCACCTGGGAAAGAGCTCAGTTCTGCCCAGGTGGTCCCCCTGCCCCAACCTGTGGTGGGACCTTCGCTGTCCTTTCCCTACTGAGCCTCAGTTTCCTCATCTGCTACATGGGTCACCAGTCCCTACCCAGAGTCCTTCCCGGGGCTGTTAGGAACTTGTGGGGGTGCTGGATATTGAATGCAGCTGTGCCTGGTGTTCTTGAGTGGATGGTGCTGCATGTTCCCCCAGGGTGGGTAAGGGCTGCACTGCATGGTTTCAGACCCCAGTGCCTGGCATACAGTAGATGCTCACTAAATGGGGGCAGAACAGGATTGTGTGCAGTGATGGCTGTAGGGTTGCATGTGCTGGGGGTGCTGGAAGTCACAGATGGAGGAGGTCAGGGCTGGGAGGTCTGCCTGGGACCAGGCGGGAGCCAGAACCCGGAAGTGGCCCTGGGCAGGCTCATGACTGGAGTGCGTGTGCGTGTGGGCACTCTGGGGCCTGGTGGGTCCTCCAGGCTCTGAGCCTAGGTTTTCCCGCCCACCACACAGCAGGCTCACTCCACACTAAAGTAATAACTCGAAGCAGTACCATTGCGTGGCCCGAAGCCAGGCACCTTGCCGCTGCCAGAGAGATTCTGTTTTAAAGTCAGAGACAGCAAGACTCAGAGATGTGGAGTAATTTACCCAAGGTCACACAGCAGAGCAAGGGGTTAATCCTGGCACATCGCAATCCCTCAGAGCGGGGTTGTTAGCTGTCCCCTGCCGCCACCCACTGCCAACGAGTGGCTGCTGCTGGGCCCCCTGGGGTGGGGTCCCCCGTGAAGGGCTGAGTGGCCTTGTGTTTTGCAGGTGGACCACCATGGAGGGCGACTGTCTGAGCTGCATGAAGTACCTGATGTTCGTTTTCAACTTCTTAATATTTGTGAGTGTCCCGGGGCTGGTGTGGAGCCAGAGGGCTCTTTGAAATCAGCACCAGGTGCCAAGTCCCTGGGGCAAGAGCGCCTGCGTCACAGCAGGGCTGGGCCACGCAGACCCCAGGGCAGGGAAAGTGGAAACCTCTGGGCCACAAGTTCAAATCCGAGCTCTGTGCCTTACCGGCTGTGTAACTGAAACTTGCATCTTGCCTCTCTGAACCACAGCATCCTTTACCTCTTAGTGTTCCACCCAGACACTAAGGCCCAGCCTTGCAGACCCTGCTCAGTGAAACCAAGCCCACATTTCCCCTTGGCCTGTCACTCTGCACGTGACGCTGGGATACCATGTTCAAATCAGACAGAGCCAAGCATCAGCTCTCACCACAGTGGACCCGCTGCCAGCCTGTGCCCCAGGCAAATGGGACAGGCACTGATAGCTGCTAAACACACTCACACCCACTTTATCCTTTCTTCCTTGGGAGGTGGGAATTCCAGTCTCATTTTAACTTCAAGGAAGCTAAGGCTCAGAGAGGTTAAGCCACTCACCTAAAATCCCAGCTTGTAAGTGGCTCAGCCCTGTCTTGGAACTAATTGCTTCCCTCCCAAGATACCTAAGACATGGAGACATCACTGAGAACGTTTTCCAGCTGCAGATTTGACAGTGGGAGCCCAGCTTCCTGTTGAGGACGATGACAATGACTTTGTCTGTTGCCCAGGCCCTAGCGATCTCAGTTTATATCTGTGGACCTTCGTTGAGTGTCAGAGAGGCCTGCTGTGTAGCCTCAACGCTGCCACAACCTTGCTGTGTGACCTTCAGCAAGGCCCCACCTCGCTGGGCCTCACTGGAATTGCAGGGTTGAATGAGGTGACCCCATAGTCCTGGACTCTGTCACTTAAGGAGAACATAAAAGGAGCAGAAGTAGGCCACACGGCCTGGTCCTCAGCAGCCTGAGATGGGGTGCGGGTCAGAAATTAGACTGAGATGATGCTTAAGGGCAGGGTAAGTAGGAAAACTCACAGTAGTTGAAGGCAGTGCTGGGCCAAGCAAGGCCGGCCGGGCCAGCCAGGTGCTCAGCGCCTCTGGCCCCAGCCAGCTCGGGAAAGTCTCACGTCTGTGTCTGCTTCTTTCTCCTCCTCCTCCATGCGTGCAGCTGGGAGGGACCTGCCTGCTGGGCGTCGGCATCTGGGTCATGGTGGACCCCACCGGTTTCCGGGAGATCATAGCTGCCAACCCCCTGCTCCTCACAGGCGTCTACATTCTCCTGGCCATGGGGGGCCTGCTTTTCCTGCTGGGCTTCCTGGGCTGCTGCGGGGCTGTCCGCGAGAACAAGTGTCTGCTGTTATTTGTGAGTGGCCCATCCCCCACCCCACCCATGGGCTCCCTCAGGTGGGAGGCGGGGGCCTGGCTTCCATGCAGAACCCAACAGGTCCTTCCCACACTTAGCACTGTCCACTCCAGAAGGGACCTTAAAGATCAGGGCCTCCCAGGAGCTGGGGGTGCAGCTCAGTGGCAGAGCACTTGCCCCACATGCACAAGGCCCTGGGTTCTTTTCCCACTGCTCCAAGAAATTTTTAAAAAGCCAGCTTTGCAGTCAGAGGTCTGCAGGCCCTGCAATGCCCTGCCACTTGCCCTGCAGCCCCAGGGAGGTGTCAGCAGGCAGAGAGCTGAGACCTAGGCGGTTGCCCTGCGGCCCCAGGAGCCAGTTTCTGCTTGCCTTGTCTTCCTCGCTCCCGCTGGACTCTGCCACTTCCCCCACTGGCTCTGCGGCCGTGTGCTGGGGCTCACACGGAGGTCAGAGTCTCGTGGCCCAGCCTCCAGGAGCAAAGGGGTTCCCAGCCCTTGCTGCTCGCCTTTGGGGCCCAGCTCCACCAGCCTGCGCTGCACTGGGTCCCTGGCTGCAGTTCAAGGGGTTCCTCCAAAACGGTGACCTCGGCCTCCAGCCCTGAACAGCCAGGCTTCTCCAAAGCAGGATCTTCTGAGAACACTGACGTCGACACAGAATTCCTTGGGGACACAGCTAGGATGTGGAAGAATCTTTTACCCCAGTTCCAAGACAGATACTGTGATCTCTGAAGGTTCTCAGTCATTAAATAAACAGTCCTTGGACGCCTATTAGGAGGGTGCTGAAGAGGCATCAGGGACCAGGGGTGACCATCTGCTCCCTGCAGGCCAGGCTCTGGGAGGCAGGCTGTGTGAGGCTGGGGAGCTGAGTTGCACGCCACCCTGCTCCCTGTAGTTGTGCCCCAATAGAGCTAAGGCCAGGGAGACCTGGCTGATCAGTCGAGGTTTTGTCTGGTCCCGCGGCGACCAGTATCCAGCTAAGTGTCACAGTGCGATGATCCGCATCCCGGAGAAGCGAAATCAGCTGTGAAATGAATGATGGGGGAGCCTGGCCTGCCTTCTTCTTTCAACCTGGGAGCCCCATGAACTTTTCCCTGGAAGGCAAACAAAGGAGAAGTGCGGGCGCCCCCTGGCGGCAGCTTCCCTCCGTGTCGGTGCGAGCTGGGCGAAGTCTTGGCTGGCCCTTGAAAAGGGGTCTGGAATATGGGTCCCAGGATGCAGCAGACCTCCCCCACCCCCACCTCGGCCCCGGGGGCTCATTCATTGTTAATGTGCAGTCTCTGAAGCCAAGACCGGAAGCCAGCGCAGTGCTCTTGGCTGGGAGCAGGCCGGCCGCTGCTGCCTCACAACTCTGCAGCTAAGTGCTTACTGCGAGCCTGCCAGCTGGAAGGGACACGGTCTGCTTGGTGCTGGGGAGAAGACTGAGGCCCAGGGACAGGACAGGATCTGCACAGTCGTCCTCTGGGACAGAGTGAGGGCCTGGCTGCCGGGCAGATCCTTCCCCTCACCCTTATCCTCTTTGTCTGTCTGTCTGTCTGTCTGTCTGTCTGTCTCTCTCTCTCTCTCTCTCTCTCTCTCTCTCTCTCTGTCTCCCAGTCCCTCCATCTCTTTGTTTCTGTCCTGCTCTTTCCCTATCCCTCTCCTGAGCTGTCCTTGCCTCTGTCTGCCTCCATGCCCTCCCAGGTCCAGTTCATGAAGCCTGACTGAGCTCACAGTGCTGGTCAGAAGCAGGGTCACCTGCATCCCAGGCACCTGTCTCCCAGAGAGACAGCCTCAAAATATACTCAGAGTCCAAAGTTCACATGCAAAGGTTCTGACAGGGCCTGAGTGTGTGGGTGTGTGTATTGCATGTGTGTACACTGTACGTGTGATGTGTGCCTGTATATGTGCTGTTACAAGCACGCTGGGTGGCATTGCGTGTGTCACGTGTTCGTGTTTGTAGTATATCGAGTGTGTTCACACGTCTTGGTGCACTGTGTGTACACATGAACTGCACATGTGTTCGTCACATTTGTGTGTACGTTTCATGTGCATGTAATATGTGCACATGTGTGCTGGGTGTGTGGGGTCGATTGCAGAGGGGTTCTGGGGGAGTGGATGCTGAAGCTCCGAGGATTTTAAGAAGTTTCTGACCTAAAAACTGAAGAACCACTCTCTCTCCCAACCTGAAGCTGGTCAGGTGGTGGTGGTTCCATCCGAGTAGAGGCACGGGGTCTCCCCCAGGACCACCTTGGGAGAGGAAGGCTATGACCACCTTTGGAGCTGGAAGGCTATGAAACTCTGGAAGGGGTAGAGAGAGGGACTTGCCCCCTCGGGATGGTGGCTCAAAGGTCTGGAGGACTGGAGATGCCTTGCTGAGCTCCCCCTGCCATCTGCTCCAGGGCTGAGAACCCACAGGGATTGGGGGCAGTGGACTGGCTGAGGATCACTTCACCTGGTGGCCCTTCTGTCTGGAGGCACGGTTTCTCGACCCTCGTGCCCCTGGACCAGGGGTGCCTGGTGTGGAAATCACATACCGTCCCCTTTCTGAGTATCTGGAGGAGTCTTTAGCTAATTTAAAGATCCTAATTTTTAAAAATATTTTTCAACAAAGGCATGCCAAATTGGAAAAGAGAACAGCAAAAAAGAGAGGATTATATTTAAAAAATAGACAAGCTGACTTGTACGTGAAATATGTAAATTTGGTAAATATTTATTAGAAATGAGAACGGAAAGCAGCCGAGGATTGCGGCAGATGGACGAGAAAGCCCGGGAATGCTCACATGTGGTGAGAAGCCACTTGGGCGCCTGTGTTCCCATCCCGCTAAGCAGCACCCTGTGTCAATGTGCAGAATCTCACTGTCCGCCGGCAAAGTGGCTGAGCCAGATGAATGCAGGCATGCCCTGGGCCGCCCTGATGCGGGGCAGCCCGGTGCCTGGCCCCAAGGGCATGATGGACAAATCACCCTGGACAGAAAGGACAAGAAGGAGGCGGTATCTGAGGTGTGGATTAAGAGTCAGGGCTTTGGAGTCTGGGCTGTGAGTCCCAGATCTGGTTCCTTAACCTCTCGGGACCTCAGATTTCTCTAGTGTGAAATGGGACAGCCATACCTCCTTCCCAGCTGCAGTGAATGCTGTATCCATGATCCAGCGAGAAAAATGCACGCCCTGCTTACCTGTGTGTCCAGCTCACATGTGCACTTGATAAATGGAAAACCAGAGAACTGGCATTGACCCAGAATGGATCAGGCAGGCTGTTTGGAAACCTAAGACCCTGAAGCTCATACGGCTTCCAGGATAACACGGTGCTAAGAAGCTGTGTTCAGTCCTGGGGTGACAGTCACCCACTGTGCCAGCCAGGAGGACTTGCAGCTCCTCTCTGAACCACGAACCCCGTCCATAAAATGGGATGCTGCTGAGTGGGGAGCTGCTCGCCGGGCTGCCAGGAGGGGTCACTGCACAGTGCCAGGGTAGTGGGTGCTGGTTCACACCAGCTGCCCCAAGGATCTCCATATCCCCCTTGATCCCAGCTGTCTTCTGAGCAGCTGTCCCATCATGCCGGTGTTGTGTAAGCGCGTCACCTGGGTCCTCTTGGGGATCGCACATGCACCCTAATGATGAGCACCTCACATGTTCTTGTTGAGGTTGTACGAAGGCGTCGTGGATCGTGCCTGTGCCCTGGTGATGAGCATGAGTGCGCGAGCTTTGCGATCAACCTCCATCATCAGTCATCTCTGGCCCAGTCGTGACTTGTAACCCCAGGCAGCTCAGAAACATCGCCTTGGACAAAGACCATTTCCAGGACTGCTCTTCGCCAGCCTGAGGACCTGCCAGCAGCCAGCAGAGGCCAGGGAGTGGGAGTGGCTCCTTGTGGATTCCAGCCAGGGAGATGGAGCTGGATGACCATCCATCACCAGATAAATGGAAGTGCCAGGCCTCCTGCCAGGGGCTCCGTCACTGCCACTGGAAGGAGAAGCAGAGGGCACAGCCTTCAGGGCCATCCAGCCCAAGAGCCAACCAGACTCATGGGAGTGAGGACCTCGGAGTGACAGAAGAGAGCGTGAGTGTCCTACAGCGGGCAGCCACGCCAGGCCCTGAGATGCTGTGCCCCACCTTGCTTCACAGATGCCAAGGAATGAAGGCAAAGGTGCTTTCTCTTTCTTCTGCCCCCCAACCCCAGCCTGGGATCACCCCCACCTTCCGGAAGTGCAGGACTGTGGCTGGAGTGGGTGCTGGGTCCAGGACTGGGCAGATCCACGCCATGTGCCTCAGGTCGGTCTGTGGATTTGGACATCTTAAAAACACCCTGGTTGCCAAGTCTAGGAGTTGTTTTGGGTCCATGTTGTGTCCTGGATGAGGATTCCTAAAGCCATGCTCAGTTCTTTCCTGGCTGGGCAGTGTGGCACCTCTACACAGCAGACGCTGTTGAGGTGGGTCTGGAGGCACCCCATGGTGGGCATAAAGTGACAAAGCTTCTGACAGGAAAGACGAATTCCCAGGTGGAGGCTCCTGAAGGCATCATCCATAGCCCAAAGGGCCCTGGGACACCTCCCAGTGGAGGTGGACACCTCCACCTGCACAGTCCTGAGCCCCTGAGTTGTCACCTTTCTGTTGTGACACCATGACCCCCATGACCCCCCGGAAGTGGGTCCACTCAGCCCCATTGTATGACGAGGAGTTGGGTCTGGGATTTAGCTCAGTGGTGCCTCTGCCTTCCTTGCAAGTGCAAGGTCCTGAGTTCAATCCCTGGTAAAAAAAAAAAAAAGAGTCTGTATGATGAGGAAACCGAGGCTGGAAGGGATTTGAAGAATTGTCCCAAGTCACATAGGACTGGGAAGGAGGGACCCAAGGTGTCCTGACATGAAGCCAACACCCTGCCTCCTTCCACCTGGGCACATCCGGTGAGGTCCCGCATGGCTTTCTGGGTGCCTGGGAAGGGTGTAGGAAGGAGCCCCCGTGTGCACCTCACAGGTTCTAGTCCACTGGTGGCTGACAGCAGTCTTCACAGATGCCAAGGAACGAAGCCAAAAGTGCTTCCTCTTTCTTCTGTCAGCAGCCCCAGCCCGCAGCAGTGACAGCAGGGACGCTCATGTAGCAAAGCCATGGTCACCACAGCATCCTGCCCACTTCTGGACTCGTTCATCTAACAGCCTGCGATTGTAGCCACTGTGTCCTGGGCACCGGGTGTGCAGTGTGCCGAGTTCCAGTCCCTGTCCGGGGGCATCTCGTTGGGCACCATGATGGGGACAGCTGGGGTGGGAGGTCAGGAAAGGCTTCTCACTGGAAGTGGCCAAGGCTGAATTAGATCTTGACAGTGAGGCATGAGAGGGCAAAGGCGGCTGGGTCTTCCTGGAAGAGACCACCTAGCGAGTGACAGCCTGACATGAGCCAGCGTGGGAAGTCGGGATCATTACGAATTCGGTGAGGGGAGCAGAGGGGGCTGGCAGTTGGATAGCAAACTCCAAGCCCCTAGATTTTCAGGTTTTGATGGTCACATGACCTGGCCTCCGGTCTTGCTCCTCTGTTTCAGCTGAAGAGCAGTGTGACCTACTTACTTCCCATGAGAAGCCAAAGAGGGGCAAGGAGAGATGGCCCTGCGACTGGCAGGATGAGAAAAGCCAACCTGAGATTCCCAAGATCTCAAGATTCCCACAGCCTGGACAGTCAGTTACCTGGAGGGAAATCTGCCTAGAGGGAGCCCAGAGGGATTTCACCAGCAGACTTTTTCTAGGGCTGCCAAGTAGGGTTGTTCAGGTTGCACACTGCACCAAGGGACCTCTCTAAGCAGTACTATGTTATGGAAGGACTATTCATTTGTTCGCATGTTTCATATTTCTGTTTCAACTTTGCTGACTCCAAAGATGGATCACTGGGGTGTCTGTCATGAGAAATACCTGATTCATGGCAGGGCAGTCTCTTCTTAGTCAATTGAGCGACAGGTGGAAGGGGTGTGTGGTTGAGCAGCCACCCCTCCCCTGACTCACGAGCTGGCCGGCCCCTGTCTTTGCAGTTCTTCCTGTTCATCCTGATCATCTTCCTGGCAGAGCTGTCTGCAGCCATCCTGGCATTCATCTTCAGGGAAAACGTATGTCCCAGCCTGCCTCTCTTGTCCCCACTACCCACAAAGGCTCTGGCCATCCAGGGCCGCTTCCCTTCCTTGACCATCTCACTGAGCTTGCAGCCCCATCCAGGTGCAGGCCCAAAGCTGCCCTGCAGCCCAGAGTCTGAGGAGGGTCACTGACTATCACTGGCCCTGGTGTGCACAGTGTGGGAAGGGGTGGGGGAGGGGGGCGCAGAGCACTCCAGCAGTGAGGCTCTGGTCCGGGTCCTCTCTGGGACATCAGCTGCTCCCCCAAGTGGACATCACAGGAAAGGCAGCAGGCTTGGGAGAAGGGCCGGGGCACCGGAGTCACGGGTGCAGAAGGGAGAGGAGGCTGGAGCCTGGGAGGGTATTCTCAGAATAAGAGTGGCATCCCCGAGAGGTGCAAGTGACTTAAGAGTCCCTGCCTGCACTGGGCTTCTGGGGGGACCCAAGGCACCTGCTGCTTCCACCTAGAGGAGCTGCTGGGCGGAAGGAGTGGGGTGATGGGCACCCCCAACCCATGCCCCTCCCTCTGAGGAGAACTCAGGCCTGAGCTCAGCCCCTAGGATGCAAGGCCTTTGTCACATTGAGGGGAGGACACAGGCCCCGGGAAGGGAAGGCAGCCAGATACCCTCACTCTCACCTGCACCTCACCAGATAACGGAGTTGGCAGGGACAGGTGGCACCGAGCTTTGGCCTCAGCACCTCCCTTCTGTCTCCAGCTGACCCGTGAGTTCTTCACCAAGGAACTCACCAAGCACTACCAGGGCAGTAATGACACAGACGTCTTCTCCGCCACCTGGAATTCCGTCATGATCACAGTGAGTGCCCCTCTACTCCCAGGGATGACTTCCTGTTCCTCTGCCCAGGCCAGACATCAGCAATCAATCCCAGCACTCTGCCCCTGAGCCCAGACCAGCTCGAACCCAGATCCACGTAGCACCCTGGGCAGCCATGGCCAGGCAATCACAGTCCAGATGAGGGGTGAGACCTGTTTGCAGCCACGGTCACCATCACTGAAGATGAGAAAAGTGAATGAGGGCCCTGCAGGCTCAGAAAGGCCGAGTCACTGTACCACAGCCACACAAGAGGGCAGATGGGGCTAGGCCACCTGGTTCTGAGACCTCTCCTCTCTGGGGCCATCTGTCCTCTGGCACCCTTGCTCCAGCCCCTGCCCTGTTTCCTGCTCTCCTCCAGTTTGGCTGCTGTGGGGTCAATGGACCTGAAGACTTCAAGCTGGCATCAGTGTTTCGCCTGCTGAGCCTGGACAGTGAGGAGGTGCCAGAGGCCTGCTGCCAGCGGGAGCCCCAGGCCCGGGACGGCGTGCTGCTCAGCCGGGAGGACTGCCTGCTGGGGCAGAGCCAGTTCATAAACAAGCAGGTTCGGCAGTGCTGGCTGTGAGCTTGGCCCCTGTGCCTGAGCAGGGGCTGAGTATGAACTTGGTCCACGGCTGGAGGGGGCTGGGGCTGGGACTGGGCTGGGGTGCTGATAGTGCAGGTCAGGGGAGGAGGGATAGACACACTATCTAACCAGGTGCTCTATTTTGGAGGACGCTCACCTTGGTTGTGGGGGGAGCACACCATTGTCTGGGAGGGAACAAGGTCTCCCGACCTGACCTCCAAGCTCAGGGACGCTTCTGTGCACCTCTGCTCTGCTCTAAGCTGCGGGTTCCCCCAGCCCTGGAGGAGGTTTCCTCCCCCTGGAGGGAACCCTTGTCCTTCCAGCATGTTAGAGAAACAGGGTCCCTGTACCCCTCCCCTAGAGTGCATGGTCTGTGCGTGCGTGCATGCGTGCATGTGTGCGATACAGCTACAACATCAGGTTGGGCAGGAAGGGAGGCCGGGGCTGCTGAGCTGTCCTCAGGCCCCTGACTCCCTTAGGCTGTCCTGGGAGCACGACAGACACTCAAGAGCCTGCAGGGAACAGGAACTAGGGGGCAGGAAGCAAAAGGGCAGACGCAGACAGGAAGTAGCCATTTCACAGAGTAACGCCTGCCATGGTGGGAATTAAACAGGGAAGGTACTGTGGGGGACGGGGCAGGCTTCTTGGGGTTCAGGAGAGTTGACCACTGACCCGAGGCCAGATCCTTGTGACCTGGTGATGCCACTGCCGCCCCTCCTCAGCCCCATGAACTCAGCCCCTCTGTCTCTGCACCTGCCCAGGGCTATTGAGACATAGGGAGCCCAAAGCCACATTCATTCTGCGCCTCGTGGCCCTGCCTCCCTGCAGGGGAGAAAGACCTAAATTAGGAATGAACAGGGCCCTGGGACCAGGCTGCTGTGGAATTGCCCAGAGATGCCTGGCGGCCCAGGGTTGTCACCTCTGTCAACAGCCGCCTTCAGCCTGCTGATGCCACCTGCAGGCATCAGGGCCCGTGCCTCAGACAGGCTTCCTGTGTGGAGATCTGCACTCTGGGTGGGCTCAAACTCAGAGCTCAGCCAAGAGATCCCTGCCTGGCCACACCCATTCTACACAGACTCCACTACCCCTGCGGCTCGGCCAAGATTGGCTGTGTGACTTTGCTGCTGACACTCGCATCCCTCCCGAGCGCCTTCCCCATGGGGATGTCTGCATGGGCGCCATCTCCAGTTGATTCCTCTCCAAAGCATCGGTTCCCCAAAGCCCGGGACACATTTCTGACTGGCGCAGGCCACAGGCGAGAAGCTGGAAGGGCCGGCCTATGGGACAGGGGAGGCGAAGAGTGGGCACCTTGGCTGCCGTGGCGAGGGGGAGAGGGGGCCTGGGTGGACACAGGGAAGGGACAGTGGGTTAGACCAGGGTGATGGCAGTGGAGACAGAGCAGTGGCCATGTGACTGGTGAGCGTGGCTTTAGTCACTTCCCCATCACTGGGACAGAATATCCAGTGACCACGACTTAAAGGAGAGGCAGAAACAGGGTGGCAGAAGGGCCTGGGGGAGGACAGCCACTCCATCTTGGTGGCCAGGAAGCAGAGGACAAAAGAGGAAATGGGGACAAGAGTGGACCCCAGTGACCTACGTCCAGTCACCTGCAAAGGCACAGTCAGCTCCAGTGGGTGAATCCACGGATGGGTGCAGCGCCCCACAAGCCAAAACCCTACTTCTGAGCACGGGACATGTGGGGACGGTTTAGATCAAGCTGAAACCTGAGGTGCATTTGGGACGTGCTGGCTGGGCTCTGGGAGGTCGGGGGGTACACGGGCTGGAGCCCACCCCCACCCCATGGCAGTGTCCATGTGAGGGGCTGCCTGTGGGCATCACTGGAGGCCAGCCTGGCCTGGGGGTGACACGGGGAATGAGGTGAGGGGCCTTCTCTCCCTGCAGGAGGACAGTTCTGGAGGCAGCTTGGGAAGGCACCACCATGAGGTGCAGTTGCGGTGACACCTACGGGTGCACGCAGAGCTCTGAGTGCTGAGCCAGGGACCTGGCCCCGGAGGGAGGAGCCCATGCCTTCCTGGTACCTGAGAGTGTGGGGATATAGGGAAGTGGTGCTGGTGGCCTGAGGGCACATGGGGTGACCAGCAGCATCCCCAGGTCAGAAACACTGGTAGTCACCCAACGAGGACAAGGTGACTGCCCCCAGCACCAGGGACTTGTCCCCTTGCAGGTCCTCTGGCTGGGCCCAGAGAATATGCACCTTCCTGCAGAAGAAACTTCTTCCCCAAGATCTGTGTTCATCCACAGCAGCTACCAGGCACCCGGCTCTAGTACTGGAGTCAGAGGGATGGCGTGTCACAAAGATGACGGGTGTGAGGCGCTGGGGTCCTGGGCTGCAGAGTCTGGCTTTCTTCTCTGTCCCTCTTGCCTGCTCTGCTGTGCATGTCCCCAGGAGGGACTTCGGTGAATGCCACAGGATGGCAGTGTTTGCAGGTCACCGGCTGCCCGCCACCCAGCCCCCCCTGGCCGTGGCTTCACCTCCATCCTTCCCCACAGGGTTGCTACTCGGTGATCCTCAATGCCTTCGAAACCTACGTCTACCTGGCAGGAGCCCTGGCCATAGGGGTGCTGGCCATCGAGGTAAGGGGGAGTCCCATGTCTGCTGCTCCCCCAGAGGGAGCCCCACATGGAGCCTGGGGTGGACCCCACAGTCTGCACCCCCAGCTGGCTCCACCTCCCCCACTTCCCCAACCCAGGACAGGGGGGTCCCTGCGGTGGGCACGGGGGTGTCAGCCCTGACACACTGCCACCTGGATCACCCTGGGATCTGCAGATGACACAGCCAGGTGTGGGGACACTTCATCTCACAGCAGTGGGGACAGCAGGCCCTGAGTCACCCCTCCCCACTCCCATCTTCAGCGGGATGAGGGCAGCACATTAAAAGGTGGGGGGTGTTCAGGCCCGAGCCCCCTCCACCCAAGGGCCTGTGAGCCCCCTCAAAAGGTGAGCTGCAGTTGAGTGTAGGGGTGCACACCTGTAACCCCAGCACTCTGGGAGCCTGAGGCAGGTGGATCGCAGATTCAAGCCCAGCTTGTACAACATAACGAGATCCTATCTCAAAATAAAAAATATAAAAAGGGCTGGGAATGTAGCTCAGTGTTTTGGCCCTGAGTTCAATCCCCAGTAATGCAAAAAAAGAACAGAAAAAAAGCTTGAACTGCTGCAGACCTCAGAGCCACCACGAGGTGGCGCGCAGCCAGAGAGGAGCTGCACCCCACCTCCACCCTGAAACTGGCTGCTTCAGAAGGGAACCTGAGCCTTGCTCACCCCACCCCTGCTGGGCTCCAGGAGGGGCCTCAATGAAGGGGAAGCAGACAGGTTGCACGGGGGCGGGGGAAATCGTGTGCGCGCGCAGAGCCAGTGGCCAGCTCATGGGCGGGCGTCGTGGCAATGTCAGTGCCCAGGGCTGCGTGCCGTCTCAGGGAGGCATCTGTACTCTGATTGCTGCCCTCACGCACCCCACCCAGGGCCTCGCACCCCCCAGGCTGGAGTCAGGCCATCTGTGATGCGCCAGGATGCGCTCCAGTGGGGCTGGGGTGGGGAATCAGCAAATCTGGTCAGAGGGGACCCCGAGTCGGAGTCTCTGCCGCCCCCCACCCCAGGGCCCTTGTGCTCCGCTCTTGACTCTGGGAAGGTTGCAGCTACCGTGCCACGTTACACCGGTAAATAATTGCCTGGTACTTAAATCTCAGCCCCTCCTGGGAGCTGGAAGTCGGATGCCGGGGTCCGGGCGTGGGATCTGTGGTCACCACGCCTGGACTCAAACCCTAGTTCCCAAACTTGCAGCTGTGTGGCCTTTGCCAGCTATGCACCCTCTCTGCCTTGCTCCCTGGTCTGCAGAAAGCTTTCTGGGAAACCACTTGGAAGCGGGCCTGGCACCTGATAAGCTCCCAATACATGCTCAAATCCAGAGAAGGGAGGCACCTGGCCCAAAGTCACCACTGGTAAAGGGAGCCGCTGGATTTGAACCCATGACTCTATGCTTCGAGAGCCCCCCCTTCTCAGGAGGCCAATGCGGTGTGTTGGGGGACCAGTGTCAGGAATTGCTGCCCGAGCGTGACCCGGAAGCACGTGGCCCCTTCCCCTCCGGGGGACCTAGACACTGTGGGCCCAGCCTGACCGGTCACCCTGCTTTCTTGCAGCTTTTTGTTATGATCTTCGCCATGTGCCTCTTCCGGGGCATCCAGTAGAGGGTGGAGCCTGGAGACGCCCCGCCCAGCGCTGCCCGGCGCCCACGGCCCTTCCCTCCCCACCCCATCCCCTCGCCAGGGAGGAGAGGACGCTCCAGCCAGTGGCCCGGGAAAGGGCGGGCGCAGAGCTAATTTTTTTAAACAAAATGAAGACAGAAACGTGGACGTGGCCTCACTTGGACTCCAGGGCAGGGACTACGGGCTCACGACAGGACCCCAGCACTGACCTGTGATGCCCTCTGCCCCGGGGACCAGAGGAACACCGTGCCAGGACCCTGCCCAGGCAGACTCTGTCCTCCCCTGCCGCCGAGGAATCAAGGATTCCGGCCACGAGGAGCCACAGCTCCCAAACCCTCAGGGAGACTGGGCGGCCCCATCTCTAGGGGCCGTGCCTGGTCTCCGGGAAGCTGACAGCTGCCCCACCCCGTTTCCGGCTGGCGGAGAGGGGACTGCGTGCAGACGCTGGATTGGGAGCAGCTCCGCTGGCAGAGTCCTTGCTTTCCCATCTGCCGGACCACACAGGCCCAGAGAGGGCCCGGGAGCTGTCCGCAGTCACACAGCATGGCTGGCAGCTGTGAACAGAGCCCGGGCGGCTCCAGGCTGCTGTCACTGCACCCAGGACTCCAGCAGACCTGCTGTCACACTGCCCTGTGGCCTCGGCGTTCTGGGCCCCGGAAGTTTCCAGCTGGCCAGGAACCACCGCCTCCCAGCTCTCCAGCGAAGGAGTCTGCGACGCTCCCGCCTCCTTGTCTTGAGTTCCTCACATGTACATGGGTCACATCCCCTGTCCACACTGCTCCTCTCCCCTGCCTCTTCCCAGATCCCTGACTCTCAGGGTGAAAGAAGCCCCCAGGATCATCCTGTTCTCCTTCTCCCCTCCCAGAATGGAGGCTTGAATGTGTCCTGCAAGGTTCCTGCCACGCATTCTCCACCTTGTTGCATACCTCCCGAGATGGAGAGCTCACTACCTCCCCAGGCACCCTCCTGCCTCTGGACTGCTCTTTGGCATCACCAGATAGAAGAGGCTCCTGTTTGTGGTTCTGCCCACACCTCCGTTCGGTCCCTCCTTTCTGGAGTGTTCAGGTTGCATGATGACTCCCCCCAGCCTCGTCTGCAGGCTGAAGGACCCTTGGGCATCTCAGCCATTTCTGCTGTGACACGGTTTCCTGTCCTTTCACTGTCCACAGGACATTTGTGTTGCCTCCAGGCTCAGGCAGAAATTTCCCCATAGACTCAGAGGTTCTTGTCCATACAATGCCCCCAAACATACGAGCCTCACCCTCTAGACCAGTGTTGGGAGATACCTCCACCCTGATAATTAGGGGGCTGTGCTGACGCCGAGGTTTGGTCTGTGCCCAGTGGGAGAAGGCAGTGAAATCCCTACTAGTGATGTCTGATGGGCACCTTGAATGTGATTAATGATGTCTGGCAGGTGCCTTGAGTGTGACTAGTGATGTCTGCCATGGGCACAGGAGGAACAGCATGGTATCTGCTGTCCTCTCCCTGTCCCTCTTCAGATCTTAGAACTCATTTCCTGTCCCCGTGCCCAGCCTCCTGTCATGCTTTCCAGCCACTTGGAAGAGAGTTGCAGTCTAGAGCCCAGTGCCCCCTGCCTGTTTCCTGCCCCTTGTCAGATGTACCCAGCTGTGTCCCCTGCCGTTTTGACCTCCCTCATCTCCAAGCTCCATCTCTGTAAACTGTTCCTTTAACAGCTGGCCCTGGCATCACCATAAATGATGCTATGTGTTCCCTAAAGGCTGAGCCCCCAGGATCCAGGGGACCTGCCCATGGTTCCTAGACACACTTAGCCCCAGCTTCCTGGAAAGGCAAATGGCTGCTCTGAGGTTGAACCCAAGCTCACCTCACCCCAGCCAGGCAGGACTGAGCCCCGCCGTAGTCACGGGCACCCTCTGCCCAAGGTAAGCTCATCCCCAAAGGCTTTCCCCAAGGTGCCAAGGCCAATTAGCGCAAAAGCCCAAGCAGGCCCTAGCTGCCAAGACAGACGGGCATGTCAAAGGGCGAGGGCAGGGGTCTGCACCCTCCCCGGAAGCCCTGCTGGCATCTGACCTCACGCTATGTCCCTCCATCCGTGCTCAGGGGTTCCAGGCCAGATCCCCCAACCAGCCGAGGCCGCAACTCTCCTCCCTCTCAGTGGGTCACACATCAAAAGTCTATTTTGAAATCTGTAAATGTCCCTTGCAGCAGACAGCAGAGCTAATTTATCATGGTTTTCTCCCATGTGAGCCCCCCTTTTATATTCTATATCAAGAGCAGTTTTGTAATATAAAACAGGACGCCCACACAGGTGGTTTTGCACTGGTTTTTGTGACTGTTTCTTACAAAAAGAAGGAACGAGGAATAAATAGTGACCGTGAATAAAGGTGGTCCTGACTCAGGAGTGGGGTGGCCAAGTGGTGGCCAAAGCTGGATAAAGGGTGCTGGGCTCTGAGGGGAGGGGCTGGCCAGGGCGCCCCAAACCAGTGGCAGTGGGGGGCCTGCCTGGCTCCCTCCCCAGGCACGGGGTGCCCTGCCCTGCGCCACTGCCTCCTTCCAACCTCCAGTCCTCCCTGCCTTAATGTCCTCCATCCCCACACGTCTGCCAGGGCTTGGGCAGCCCAGGACCCTGTACCGCTCCAGAGGCAGGGGCCACAACACCTTGCTGTCCCTCACAGCTGTGGGATTGGCTGTCTCAGCCACCAAATGCCCCGTGCAGGGCTGCTGCCCAGGCAACCTCAGTGTGCCGGACAGCAGCCACGTGTCACCCCACTGAGGGGCAGCTGGGCCTCAAGGCCTGGCACAGATGGGTCTGGGGCTTTGGCTGCAGGCACTGCCCGCTGGCAGAAGAGACAGTGGCTCCTGCCTGCCCAGGGCTTGGCAGAGAGCAGTGGGGCTCCAGGGACGAGCGTCCAGAGCATGCCAGGCAAGAGGGGCCTCCCAAGTCCATGCTCCATGCTGCTCGGCCCAGTGCAAGCTCAGGCCCTGCCAGGCCTCTCAGCTGCGTAACTGGTGGAACCACTCCTCCACCAGGCATGCACATGTCACTGGCTGCAGATGGGAAGGTCTCCTCTTGCCCTGCCATGTCTTGGAGAAGGGGAGGTGACAGGAAGTGGCTGGCTTAATCACTTCTATTCACCCCACTGTGGAGGGGCACAAAACCCTGCCCAGCCAGCCTTGGAGGTGGCCAGGGGTTCAGTCCCCAGGGAGGGGGCAGCCAGAGGGGAACCAGGCCCTGGAGGATGGGACAGGGACAAGGGGAAACAACTGTTCTTCATCTCCAAAACCACCTATCACCTCAGACCGCTCCCCTGCTGCCATCTGTGTCCCTTTCCAGGCTAGGGAGCTCAGGCCCCTCCGCACCCGGCCAGTTGGAGGAGGGGTCTGGGTGGGGACAGGAAGTCTGTGCAGGTGGGCCCGAGGGAGGTGCCAACTCTGGGCCAGCTGCCTCGGCCGGGCATGGGAAGGGCGTGTGCCCGTGTGCTTGGTACTCAGGGGCCCCGCACGTGGGGTGCCCAGGCTGCGGGTGGGGGATCAGGGTCCTGCTCTAGGGTTGTCCAGACATACAGGGCAGTTCTGAGGGGTGCTGGGGGCAGTGTGTAGGCTCTCACAAGAAAGAGAGGGCTCCCTGGCACACCTCAGACTCTGCTCTCCGGTCGGGACCTGTGGAGGGGCTCTGGATCCCAGAAAAGGGGCCGTCCCTGTGTAGGGTAAGGAAGTGGGGTGCAGATGCCCATCTCCCCAACTGGCCTGTGAGCCTGGAAGCCCAGGAGGGAAGGGGCTCACCTTGCCTGCCTGCGGGCACTGGGGCAGGATGGGGGGCTGCCTTCCAGGACCCAAGGGGGAACAGATGCCCCAGAGCTGCCCGGGCCCAGCATGCGCAGGTCCCTGGACCTGCTAGACTTTCTTGGGCTTCCGGCCGACTTGGTAATAGTAGTAAATGCTGATGACCACGAAGAGGAAGCGGCTGGCCAGGAGCACCAGGGTCCCCAGCGACACCAGGCCCGTCTCGGCCAGCGTGGCAGTGACCACTGAGGGAGAAAGGCCAGGAGGGGACAAGTCAGAGGGGAGGTTATGGCCCCACGCCCTGTCCCACAGGAAGCCACACCAAGCCACAGCCCTGCTATGGCCCTCGCCCCCTGGCAACCTGCCACAGGCCACCCAGGACTCACCCACAAACTGGACTCCGAAGTAGCAGGCTTCCGTGAGCAGCGTCCACCGGATGATGACCTTCTCAGCCGTGTAGAGTGCATTCCACATGATCAGGGAGATGCCTGCTCGGGGACAGTGCGGAGGGGACAGCCTGCTCCCTCTGTCCTGTGCCCCTTTGCCCAACCCACACTCCTGAGGTCTTGGTCTGTCGGCCCCTGCCTGCCCTGCCGGGTCCCACCCTGCAGCGTCAGCCCGCTCATGTCACTGGCAAGGCCCTGTGGGACACTGAGCCAGTCCCTTCCTTTGCTAGGACTCCAACTCCATTAGCGGGGTGCGGGGGGGGGCGAGCTCTGGCTCCGTCCTTGCGACTGAGACGACTCCTCGCCTGGGCTGTGCGGCAGGACCTGGGACCCCAGCGCTCAAGCCACCGCCACGGGTGTGTGCCACCCACGGCCGCCAGGTGGCAACAGACACCCAGCGGAGTCGCCTGGGAGGCAGGGCCGGCAAAGGACCTGTGTCCCCTCACCCGCTCCTCCCCAGGACCCCCAGCAGCACTCACTGAGGAGGGCGCCCCCATAGAGGCGGATGGGGGTCTTGCTGGTGACCTCGGCTCCGTCGAAGACAGCATCGTAGAGCTGCTCAGGAAAGGCCAGGGCCTGCGCACAGTGGGAGGGGCTGGAGGCAAGGCTGGGGGGGCGCCTTCTTCAGAGCCCCAGGACCAGGCCAGGGACCTCAGGGCCGCCCCGCCCCTCCGCCCCAGGACAGGAGACTCTGCGGTTCTCAGGGCCACAGACGGGGACTAGGGTGGTCCCGGGCGGGCACGAAGATGTGCGGGCAGCCAGGGGCCCTCGGACAGCCTCAGTCCAGTTCTGAGTCCAGGTCCCGCCAGTCCGACTGACTGCGTAAGATCCGTCCCGCCCAGGGCCAGGTGCCGGGGCTGGGGGCGGGGTCTCACCATGACGGCGATGCCGGAGAACAGCACAGCGGACACGAACTGCCAGACCCTGGGAGGGGCGGAGAGGGAGGTCAGGACTGTCCCGCCTGGGACGTCCCCTCGCGCCCGACAGCTGGTTTGAGGAGGCGGTAACACTACGGAATCCCAAGTGGGGTCTCTGTCCTCCCCCAAAGCAAGACCCAGCTCAGGGCTCACCTCAGCCCCAGGGGCTCCCGGACGGCAAACTTGATCTCGTTGCCCAGGACCTGGCTGATCTGTGGACACAACGGGGGTCAGAGGCGCTCCCTGGGACCTGCCTGGGTTCCCCTGCTGGCGAAAGAGGCTGCCCCTCTCCTCCCTCCTCTGGGCACCGAGTTTAAGAGAAGCTGGAAATGTGGGGACTAAGAACCAGAGCTCAGTGCCAGCCGGATGTGGGCGTGAAGCCTGTTCCTGCCACCTGCCTGCGTGGCCTTGAGAACTCGGCGTAGCCTCTCCGAGCCTGTTTCCTCACCCGTACAATGGGTACATCCTTGAATCTACAACTCTGGGGCAGCCAGGTTAATGCTCCGACAGCGGCTGGCGCCGCACCCACTGCAGGAGCAGCTCTGCTCCTAGGTGGGACCCACCTTGGAGCGGTGCACCTCTCCGTCATCGTCCTCTCCGCCCACGCCCAGGATCTTCCGAGTCTTCAGGCGGCTCACGAGGTCCGTCTGGCTGTGCTTCTTCATGAGAGGCGGGGGCTGCTTGGCCGCCATCGCGTCCCGGAGCCCGGCAGAGGGGCTGGGTGGACAGGGCCAGGCCGGGTCACCAGCTGGACAGCCCCAGTCGGCCCACCCCCTCCAACCTCAGGACCCCAGGAAGGGCAGGGGATGGGTGGCCCCGGACACGTTAAGTGGGGAACCAGGGAGGCGGGGTCCCCTGCCCAGGCCCCGCCCCTTCCCAGAGCGCCCCCCCCGGGGGGGGCCAGCGGGCACCTACTGTGAGCCAGGCGCTGTGCGGGTCCTGGTCTAAGGGGCACAGTCTAGGAGAGGACACAGGTGCGGTGGGGGTCAGGGCTCCTCCATCACAGGCCCTGCCGGGTGGTCCCGGTTTCCACCCATTCTGCAGATCCCTGGAGGCCCAGCCTGCATAACCTCAGCCCTGGCCTGCAGGCTCAGAAGCTGCCTGCCCTTCCCACCCAGCACCCTGTGTCCCCAGGCCCATCCCAGCCTCTGAGCCCCATGAGGGCTGCCTGGCCAGGTGCACAATGATCACCACGTCACCTCCTTCTTCAAGCCTACCAGCTCAGCATTTTTTTTTTTTTAATTTTTGTTATCCTGAGGGTGGAACCCAGGCCTTGCTCACTACCCAGCCCCTTTTTTATTTTTTGAGACAGGGTTCAAACTTTTGACCCTCCTGCCTCAGCCTCCCAGAGTTCTGGAATTATAGGCATGCCTCAAGCCTGCCAGTGCTTTAAATAAACAGCCAAGCAAACAAAGGCCAGAACAAAGAATCCCACGGGGTAGGGGGTGCATGCACACAGTGGCTTTAGACACAATAAACAGGGACAGGTGCAGGTTTGGCAGGGACAGCAGACGTCTGCCCTCATCTCCAGGACCAGGTGCTGTTCTTGTGCCCTCCCCACTACACTCCAGTCACCCTCAGGAGGCTCACAGAGGCACTGGGTCACGTCTCTCGGCAGAGCCAGTCAGCCATGGCACCCCCAGGGCCCACGGCACTGTCCCACGTCAGGTGCCAGCCACCGCCCTCCAGGAGGCAGGCAGGAGCTGCAGTTGCCAGCGTCTCCGACGAGCCACGGCCCCCTGGCCCTCGGGTGTCACTTGGCCCTCCCCCTTCCTCTTCCGCCCTCCCTCTGCCCTTTTTCTTAACGTGTTGTCGCAAAGCTGTGTACATTTTAGCATGCGGGTGACCTGCATAGCCGGCACCTCCAACTCAGGACGAGGCAGTTTTATTACCCCACAGACGCCCTTGCTCTGTCCCGGCGCCCCTGCTGGCAGCCTGGGTCTGTTCTGTGTCACTATGGCTCTGTTTTGATTTCCTCAAATATGTTACATAAATGGAGTCATAAAGTATACGACCTTCACCGCAGCTTCTGCCATTCAGTGCCATGCCTTGGAGATCCATCCAGGCTGCAGGACTCAGTGGCCCACTGCTATTTGCTTATTTATCTTGCAGTACTGGGGATTGAACCCAGGGCCTTCACACTGAGCTCAGACTTGCGATCCTTCTGCCTCAGCCTCCCAGAGTACTGGGATTACAGACATTCACCACCACAGCCACATGGTTGGTCTTTATTTTCACCCTTTTCTTCTCACCAGGCAGTTGAGAGCTTAGTCCTGATCTACCCCTCCTAGCTGTGTACCTGTAGGCAAGAACTTAATCTCTCCATGCCTCGGTTTCCCCGTATGAAGTTGCCAAAAGAAGTGGTCCCACCTCGGGAGGACGTTGTGATGATGAGACCCCTGATCTCAATTTCCCCCTACAAAACGGGGGGCAAAGAGAAGGCCCACCTTGCGGAAGTGATAGTGGCCAGGGCCTGGGGCTGTCCATGCGTGTACCCATGGGCCACTGCCTGCCCAGCGGGCCGGGCCCGGCCTCCGCTTGCCTCCCTTCTCCACCTGCCACGTGGCGTCCTGGGAGGGCCCAGCCTGGCTGTGCTCACTGGCATCTCTGGATGGGGCTGGATGAACAGTAGGTGCTTCGGTGCCGCAGGCGGAAGAAGCAGCAGCCTCCCTGGCCCCAGGGGTGGGATGACGGGTACAGGCCCGAGGGAGGGCTGGACAGGGCAGGAAACTGACCATCCCCGGGGCCCAGGTGGCCCTGGAAAAACTGCGTCACCTCCAGGCTCAGGGGCAGCCAGGGCAGCAGTGGGGACACTGGGCCGACCCTGCCCCCACGGCACAGGCCGGGCTTCTATGGCTTCTGCCTGGACGGAATCGTAACGGGGAAGAACTGCTCGAGCCCTGTGAAGGCCAAAATGGGGCACCCGGGGCCTGCCCCACCCTCCCCCTGCAGTGGCCTCAAAGGACGCACCTCCAAGTAGCTCCTAGGGACAGTAAGGCAAAGCCAGGCGAGGGCCCTGCAGTGACCCAAGCCGGGAAGAGAGGGGCTCACCAGGGGTTCACGAGTCAGGGAAAGATGCCAGGGTGGGGCTGGGGTCTCATTCTTAATGACTAGGAAAACTTGGGCTCAGAGCCAACTCTTTCTCTTCACTGCTCTGTGACCTCAGGAAAGTCACTTAACCTCTCTAAGCCCCCATGTCTCATCTGTGAAACTGACCACTCCTTCTCCTCAGCTCCCAGCGTTGTGATGTGGAATACGGAGAACTGCCCATGAGGGGCTGGCACCCAGTATATGCCACACAAAGGACGGTGACCAATAACATAAATGGGTGCCCGCCAAGCCGGGCCCCAGGTAGCAGCTGAGCAGGACGGGCCGGGGCACCGCTCCCCTGCAGGTCCTGAGGACTCCCCCGGCTCCCCCATCCTTCCAGGAAGCTTGGTTTCCATAGAAACAGAGGGACTGCCGCTCCGCTTCGTCCTGTCTGGGAGACTGCCCAGAAGGACCAGGTTAGGAACCAAGGCCCGGAGAGAGGGACGGAGGCAGGAAGGGACCAGAACCTCTGCCAGCTGCCAGCATCCTGGTGACTCAAGGGGAAGTCACTGTACTGAGCACCTCCGCCAGGGAGCCGCTTCCCTTCCAAAGCAGGCTAACCAGAGGCAGCAACCGTCCCTCCCCAGCTAGTGCCAACACCTGTTCCCAGCTCCCCGCCACATCTGTCTTGGGGCTGGCGCAGGGCAGCTGTGACCACGACCACACCGGCGGCCCCTGTGTGGCCTCCACCTATGAGAATGGCCATATTCACTCCCATTTTACAGATGAGAAAACTGAGGCCCAGTGGCACATCTGAGTGGCTCGTGGGCTAAGTGGTCGAGCTAGGATACAAACCAAGCCCGCTGTGAACAGTGCTTTAAGTGGCTGCGCTGGGAGGAGCCGGCAAGTGTGTGCGCCTGTGTGGTGGTCAAGGAAAAGGAGGGGACATTTTGGTGAGCTTGATCTCCCCCATCTCGCCCACGGTGGCCCCAGCGAGCCCACCACTGGGGTCCGCCTGCCCTGGGTGGCGGCCCTGGCAGAGGCTGCAGCTCGGGCCCATTGTTCTGTTATCTCATGGGCACAGAATAGCTGGAAGTGGGGTCCGGGACCAGGCAGCACCCGGGGAAGAGGCGTCTGGCAGAAAGGGAGGCGGCCTTGGGAGGCCCTGGCTGCAGTGCGGGCAGAAGGACTCCGCGGCTCTAGACCCGCATCTAAAGCCCCAGTCAGGACCCCACTACCGCGGCTCAGCAAAGGGGGCCCATCTCCGGGGCTGCCATGGGGGTCCTGAGTCTGTGCCCGGGCTCGGGGCTCACACAAGTCCTGGCCAAGGCCTTGGGTCTGACCTGCTGTGCCGGGGGACCCCTCAATCACCAGGCCGGGGGTGGGGGCATTAGAAGCCGCAGGGCCCAGGGGTGCCGCGCAACTGCTGCAGAGGACAACACACAGCTGCCTCTGGGCGCAGGCCTTGTGGGGTTCCCGGGCCAGGCTGGGGGCGCCCTGGTGGTGGCAAGCAGCTGACAAGCCTGTCCCTCGAGAGCAGGCTGGAGCAGGCTGCCCCATGGGGGCCTCTCCCAGCTCCATGTCACCACTGGCCTTGGGCCCACTGCTGCAGAAAGCCAGGGTGACAGAGGACAGCTGGCCAGGCAGGAGAGGACACCATTGGAGCCCTTCCCAGGGAGAACGCTCCGGAGTCCAGAGAAGGTTTCCAACCCCGTTTCCAAGCATATCCAGGAATGGGAGCCCGGAGCTGGGCGCACAGGGTTTGTCCTGACTCGGGGAGCTGCAGGACAGCTGGGGCCGCCACCAGACTCCATGCCACTGGCAAGCCAGGGCCTGAATTCAGGCCTCAGTTTCCCTGTCTAAAAAAGCAGAGTGTGGTCTCCAAGGCCCTGCTGGGTTCCAGCTTCCAAACCTCTCCTGCCACCCAGGACAGGCCCTGCCTCCAGCTGCCCTGTCCCCATGCCCCAGGGGACAATTCTGTCCCTACTGCTCCCCTCCTCTCCATTCCCAAAAGGCAGAGGAAAGCCCAACTTTCCTCACAGACATCTCCAGAGCTTCAGGGGCCAAAATAAACACTTCCTCCCTGCTGACAGCAGAGCGTGAGGGAGGGCGGGAGGGGACACCGGGCCTCCCCACCGGAAATCACCCAGAGGGCCTTTCCTGTCTGACTGTCACTCCTGAGGGGTGGGCACGTGCAGAATTCCTGTCCTTTCAACCCCTGCCTTCCCTTCAGCCTGGTGACCGTGTCAGGGCCCTTGAGGGCCAGCTGTGCCGTCATCATCATGGGGACTTTCTGGATCCTGCATCCCGTGGGGCCGGGGCTCTTGGGAGAAGCAGAAGCAGCAGCACCTCACCCCTGTGCTGGCCAGGAGAGGAACAAGGAATTTCCTTCAAGGGACACTCCGCCAAGTCACACGCATTTTTTTCAGAAGTCAGTGATGAGGTGTCTTCTGGCCACACCCAGAGGCAGGCGCAAGGGTCGCTGTGCTTTTCCAAGGCCCGAGACAGGCCACCACCCCAGTCTGGGGCTGAGGGTCTTCCCCACATTGGGGCTCTGGCTCGGGTGCTAAAGGAGCAGGCCAAGGGCCTGTACTTACATACTGGCTCCGCCCCCCACTTGCTGGGTGGCTTTGGGCCTGGGTTGCTGCCTCTGGGCCTCGGTTTGCCCGCCTGTTAAATGGGTACGATAATAATAACACCTGTCTCACAGATGAGCAGATACACAAAAGACATCTGCACCACTACATGCTTTGTAGTAAATGCTCAATAATAATGCTGCTATTGCTATTTTCAGAGCAAGAGACTCAGTTTCCCCTGGACCAAAACAGTCCCCTTCTGGGAATTCCATGCTGGTACAGAATGAGCTGTTTAGAAGGAGGCGGCCGAAGGAAGGAGGCGCGATGACAGCAGTTACTTTGGGCCAGGAGGAAGAGGCTGCCCGAGCACATGGCTACAGGTGGGCAGGACCACAAGGACAGGGACCCTCAGTACACTAAGCCTGGGTTGCTGCCCTGCAAGGTGGGCCTGGCCCTGGGGGGGGTGAGCAGCTGAGATCAGGGGTACAGGGGAAGCATGGTGGGCTAGGAGTCAGAACCACACTTCTGGGCTGTGTCATGGGTGACAGATGTCCTCTGAGCGTCATGTCCCTGTCTGAAATTTGCGGGTTCCCTCCCTCCCCAGCCAGCCTTTTGTCAGATCCTTTCCCCTCCCCTTCTCCACCCTGCAGCCCCAGGTCCTTTGCACAAGTCATTCTCTGCAGCACCTCTCCTTTCCACAGCTCTGTGCACAGCTCAGCCCCTCAAAGCCTTAGCTCAAAGTCACTTGCTCTGGGAGGCCTCCAGGATCACCTTATTTAATGTGGCAGCCTCCTCTCTGGCCTCTACACGCCAACATTCCTCATTTTCCCCTCAACTTCCGGTGAACTACATAATTTGCTTATTGATTACTTGCTTTTTCCTCAGCCCCCTTAAGTGTCAGCTCCCTGGGGACAAGAGACTTTATTTGGTCCCCAGCTTTCGCCCCAAGTGCCTGGAAAGGGGCAGGCACATTGCTCAAGAAGTCCTTTTGGAGGTGATGCCCCCCCCCCAATATTTTGCTCTATAAGCAAAAGTAAAGCGCAGCCCAAGACTACTGGGTGAATATGAGGAGGGGTTCGTCCCAGCCCCCCCATCCCCATGGGGGTGCCCTTTGTCGCAGAGGGGCACCAGAAGAACCTAGGCTGGGAGACGGCTGGGGGTGGGGGGGGCTGGCCTTTGCAGAGAACAGTCAGGCGGTGGACCAGCAGGAGGGGACAGCCACCTTTGGAAATCCCGAAACCGGAAGCTTGTGGGGAGAAGAGAAGCCAGGGCAGCTGGCTCTTGTGACGCTGGGGCCAAGGAGAACCTTGAGGGGCGGGCGGTCCATTTCACAGACGAGACAAACGAGACGCGAGACACTCTTGCTCTCTAATAGCCCCAAACCCTCCTCTCCTTCCCTGGGCTGAGTCTGGGGCGGCGGCTAAGGGACAACCAGTGTCCTTTTTTCACCAAAGCGACCCCGGTATTCCTGGGATCTGCGGGCTGTTGGTCGCAGGCCCCTCTCTGCAGGCCACCAGAGGTGGCGATCCCTGGCTACACAGTTTAAGCGAGCATCCTGCCGCCCCGGGACTTCTCCCCGTAGGCCATAAAGTTTGTCTAAAAGAAACCAAACAGGAAGCGCGGGCGGTGGGGCTGGGGCGGCCTTGGCCACCTGCGCAGGGCTTGGGGCAGCCCGGGGTTCTCGGCCTCCCAGCCTCCTGCCCCCGCCTCCTGCGCTCGGCGGAGAAATCCGCGAGGAGGTGGCGGCAGGAGCGAGCGATTGGGTGGGGGCGAGGGAGGGGACCCCAGCGAGGGCCGGCCTGGGGGCGCGCCGGGGTGGGCGAGGCGATCAGGCCCGTCCTAGACGCTCGGGGACAGAGGGGGGCGTCGCGCTGCACCTGCGCCTCCTTGCCCACCCCGGGCTGGGGCTCCGGCGCCGCCCGCCCGCTGCCACCTCCCCTCCAGCCCGGGAACCCGCGTCGCTCCCGGCCCTGCCCCTCCCCCCGGGCTCCCCTTACCTCCGGGGTCCAGACACTCCCCCACTTTCTGATCCCCCGGCTGCTCCTGGCCGGCCTCCCGCCCCTCTACCGGCAGGTCACGCCAGACTTGGGGGCGACCGGAACTCCGCCACCGCCTCGCCCCACGGCCCTGAGGGGGCGCAGCCCGCGGAACTCGCAAGTTTGCACCGCGAGCTCCTCCGGCCGGGAAACAAAGGCGAGAGGGGGTGCGGTGGGGAAGGGGGGAGGGGACAGAACCGAGCGCCGACGCCGGAGACCCCGGCCGGCCGGAGAGAAACAGCTTCGAGCTGTGTTTCTCTCTAGCTCCGAAGCAGAGTGCGCGAGCCCGAGAGCCAGTAAACAGTCCCAGAGGAAGGAGGCGACGCAGGCAGAAGCCAAGCTCAGGGAAATCGAGTCAAGGGGAGCAGAGCGCGCGGGGGACACGCGCAAGGGGCAGCGGACCGCGTCCTGCGCGGCTGGAGGAGCTCCCGAAAGTGCCCCGCTGTCCCGGCGCCCGGCTGCGCGCTCGAGGACCCCGCTGTCCCCGTGGCCGGAGGAGCCCGCGGGCTGCGTGCGCAGCACAGGCAGCGCCGGCAGCGCCGGGGAAGTGCGAGGCGCACGGTGGCGCCGGGGCGCGGACTTACGTTCCCGGCGTGGGGTCCCCGAGCTCGTGGGGCTGGCGGGCCGTGCCGGGCGGTCCTGCGACCCTCGGAGCCTCACATCGCGCCGCGCAGGGCAGGGCAGGGCAGGGCAGGGCAGGGCAGGACAGGGCAGGGCAGGGCGGGCCGGACTCCTGCGCCGCTAGGCTCGCCTGAGTCTGGCGGCCCCGCAGGTCCCTCCTCTAGTTCCGCGCGCGAGCCAATGGCGCGCCGTCCCCTCCCACGCGCCGGGCTGCCTCGCCCCCGAGGTGGCCGCCGGGGCGGGTGCAGAGGGGCTGGGGGACTGGGCGCCCAGTGCTCCGGCCGCGGCGTTCGGGGAGCCGTCTGCGGGGGGGGGGGCGCTGGAAGCGCTTAGGACCCTAACTCGGACGGACGGAATTGGGACGCCCAGCGTGCAGAGCAGCGCTTCCCCGGAGCACTTTCTTGGCAAGTTCTTCAGACACCACCCCTCTCCCGGAACTGTAAACACCCCGCGAATTGGCAGATCATGCCGTCTTGAATGACCTGGCCTCGGCTGCGTCTACAGTCGAAGAGACAGCTTTGGCCGGTCAGGTAGCGACAGCCAAGTGCGAAATAACACAGTTTCGACCACGGTCACCGTTTGCTGAGCCCCCACTTGGTCCTTGCCGGACCCCAAGGACTTAAGCCCCGAGTATGAGTTCCAACTCATCTGTCGGCACAACATCCTAAGAGGGCGATAGGATTCCTGCTGTTTTACAGACTGTGGTCTTTAATATTTGGTTTCATTTAGCCTCAGGCTTCAGGCCCAGCCTCCCCCTGGCAGGTGACTGCCAAATTACAGGAGCCTGCCACCACCACCTCCTCTATCCCCATCCTAAATCCAACCATAGCGATGCTGATGTTACTGTAATAATTTGTACTGTCACCGGGTTAGATTTTATCTGGCGCTCTTGGAGGCTTGTGGGGGGCACAGCTGCCAGGCCTTTTATCTCTGCACCTGCTGTGGGAGTGAGGTCGGGTTTGGGGGCTCCTGGAGGCTCTCTGGGAAGCTTTCAGCCTAAGAGCACCAGGTCCTACAAACACAGCCTCCCCTGCCTGATTCTGGGCTCGGGCGGGCGCCGTATGGTCAACAACGTGTGTGTCCTTCTTGCCACCCCTAGGTCTTGTCGCCTGGTTTGATGGCAGCCACAGTGGGCCTGGAGGGGGCTGAGCGGAGGGAAGAGGAAAGCAGGGCTGGCGATGACACACGCCGTTTCACACGGTGAGGAAGTAGGACAGGGAGGAGCCGGGCAGCCAGGTGGGCCTGGGACATGCAAGTCTGTGATCCTTCAGGGTTAACGAGCAGACCCGGACAGCTGCCCGGCAGCTGCCTATGATTCAGGAACAAGAGGCTGGGGCAAGCAGGTTGCCAAATTCCTGTTTCCTCATCTACTAAATGGGGTGCCCGCAGCAGGAAGCGCCTACCGTTGTTGGGAAGTTTCGAGGTAACAGCGGCAGCTGGAGCTCACTGAGCGCAGACTGTGCCAGGCCCTGGGATCCAACAGGCGGGCAGACTCCTCTGCTGAGCTGGACCTGGCGGGGTGCTTTTCAAGGAAGTAAACAGCAGTCCTGGCTTACCTCAAGCACACAGTGACTTTCCCATCCCGATCACCGAAGTGACTAAGCTCGGACCCCATGCCACCAGCTCCACTCCCAGCCGAACACCCCACCCGGCTGGTGACAGCTAATAATGAATGAGTTGGTTAACAGTGTGTGGCTCCTGAGAGGAGGAACTTTGGAGTTAGCAGTAGGGAGCTCCCCATCACTAGCAGTGTGCAAGCAGAAACCAGAGGAACGATTCACACCAACGGTGGCATTCAGTGTGCACAGCCCTGAGCTCTGGAATGTGCACTGTGCTCTGGGTTTCCCTGGCCCATCCTCGGGAGGCTGGAGCACAGACTGGACCAGGGCTGCCGGCCATCCCAGGCAAGATGCTGGGTGCAGGGACCTCAGAGTGAACGGGACACTGTCCCTGTTGTTGGAGAGCTCTGGCCTCCTAGGAGACAGATGCAGATCCAGATAGTCAAGGGCAGAGGGGGAACAGCTCATGGTTACAGCTAATGGCCTGGGGGACAGAGGACATCGGAGCTCAAAGGCTATACACACAGCCGGTATAAGTCCCTCCTCTGGTCTTTCTCATTGCTCTTCCTGACTTCTGCTTGCATGCTGCTAGGAACAGGGCACTCACTACCACCACCACAGCCCCTTCCACGTTGGAAAAAGTACATGGGGGCTGGGGGAGAAGTGAGAGCCCATCCCTTCCCCACTGGGCACCCACTGAGGCCCCTTGATGTCCTCTTCCCTACACACTTCTCTACAGCAAGGCCAAGAACAGGCCTCACGCTGCCACCTGGCCCTGAGCTTCTCCAGGCTTCCTCGTCTTCCCACCAGGCAGAGTAAGCAAGCTTGCCTCTCTGGTTGTGTGCTGACCTCGAGGAGTCCTGGCTATTTGCGGAGAAAGAACAGTAACTGAAGCCTGGCGTGGTGATGCACGGCTGTGAACCTAGCGCTTTGGGAGGCTGAGGTAGGAGAATTGCAAGGCTGAGGCAAGTCTGGGCAATTTAGTGACTTAATAAGACTGTCTGAAAAATATGAAGGGCTGGAGATGCAGCTCAGAACAAAGGCCCTGGGTTTAATCTCCAGTGCCATTAAAACAAAGAAAGAAAGAAAGAGGGAGGGAGGGAGGGAGAGAGAGAGAAAAGGAAGGAAGGAAGGAAGGAAGGAGCAAGCGAGCATGAACTAAGTGCAAGACAGAGGGCTGGGACAGCAGCTATGTGCCTCACTTAGCTATGTGACCCACTGCTGCTCCTGGAAAATGGAAATAGAGAATACCTGCCTCTCGGAGCTTGTGAGTCAAGTGAGGTGATTGGATAAAAGGCCTGGCAGGTTCCTGTTGTCACAGGCTGCTGCTGCTGCTGCTGCTGCTGCTTCTGCTTCTGAAAGTCCCAGGCGTGGGGGCGGGGCAGGTGTGGAGCCAGCAGGTGGGGGTCAGGCCCCCAGCCACCCACCAGCAGGGACCAGCTGCTGTTCCATCTGCCCGGGCTCCCTCCCAGGAAGGCAGCGCCTCCTCGTGCCCTGGCGTGACAGAGTGTCACGTGCGTGCCGTGTGTTTGTGCTTGTGCCCACGCGGGTGGGTGCTAGGAGTGGGGGACGAGAGGGACAGCGACTGCCAGCGTCGGTGGTCAGAACCACTTGTGGATTGGGAATCTCTGAGGGAGGAGGATGCGATTGGATTTCAAAGCTCCTTGCATAGCGCCCACATGGAGGAGAGGCTGGGGAGCAGCCAGCCAGGGCCTGGCTGTGGACAGAGGTCTCAGCTGTGACCCTCTCCCTGGGGATGGGGACCCAGTAGACAGGAGGAAGATGTTGTCAGAGGCCTTTTGTGGTTGAGCCCTGGGATTTGGGAGCTGGCAGACCTAGATCCAAATCCTGATTATGGGCTGTGATTTCCTTTCATTGAGCCTCAGTTTCCTTGTCTGTAAAATGGGCATAGTGACAGAGCTGACCTGGCAGGGGTTACTGGAAGTGTGTAAAGAGGACGCCATGTTGTTGAGGCCATTATGAGGCCACCCAGGAGGGGCACAGAGCCTGGGGCACTGCTGCTTTGTAAACAGTAGAGGGTGGTGCGGGGGTGGGAGCTGTCGAACCAGGGTGGGTGACAGCACCATCTTGGCCCAGGAGGAAGCTGCCACCTCCCAGGACTTGGAGCCAGGCAGAGGACAGAGGACGGGGCTTTCACAACTCCTCCGGGTCCCAGTTTTGGCCTCCACTCACTTCCTTTCCCCTGAACCTGCCAGGGAGTCCTCTGGATCCTCCCCACCTGTGGTTCTGGGCTCAGCACGGTTTGGGGGACCTCAGGCAGACTCCCCACGTGGCTGCCTCCCTGGGGAGACTGACCAGGCCGCCTCCCTCACCCCCACCCTCCCCTGGGTGACTCATCCCCACCACGATGGTGTAGCTGCTTTGCGACCAGGGAATGTCACGCTGCTCCTTACCTGTGGGAGAGAGAACTGGGTCTCCCCAAAGGAAGATGGAAAAGCTCGGGGACCTTAGCCCAGGGCCGCCCCTTTCCTGCTTCCTGTGGGGACAGGGAAGAAGGGGACTCGGGCATCAGGCCGTCTTGGTCTTGCATCCTGCGTTGAGTTTCAAGCCCCTGGGCTACTGCTAACTGGCTCTGGGGCCTTAGGTGAGTCACTTGGCCTCTCTGAGCCCCAAGATGCTCATTTGTCAGAGGGAAGGAGGGAAAGCATGGTGACACACAGGAGGTGGGGGCTGGAATCAGATGTAGGTGTGCACGTGTCCTAAGCTCCAGCCTGACTCACTGGGGTCCAGTGATGATTGATGGGGGAGCAGCAGCGACCGGGGGCGCAGAGGGTGCGTGTATCTGTCCACAGGGACGCCCCCCCCAGCTGGGGGCACTGCTCGGACCTCATACCTGGGCTGAGCGGCAGCCTGAGCAGACCAGCACCCAAATTCTGAGCGACATTTTATAGATGGGGAAACTGAGGCCCGCTGCTTTACATAACTCGGACCAAGATCACACCCTAGACAGCTGGAGACTGGGACCCTAACGTCCAGCCCACAGCCCCAGGCGACTCTGGCTTTGCTGCTGTCCAGGCCTGGGACTGCTGGCCCCTCGCCAGTGCTGCTCCGTGTTTGGGAAGGGAAGCCACCCGCCAGCCCAGGACCCACGGGAACATGTGCCAGAGGATCTCCTCTCCAGGTGCCCTGAGCGGTGAGGCGCTCTAGTCCAAGCTCAGCGCACAGAGCCCGGGCGCGACCTGTGTCCCCCGCCCTCCAGCCGTGCAAGGGAGTCTGAGAAAAGCCGAGATTGAGAACCTCTGCTTTAGAGTTTGCAAAGCAGACTCCGAGGTGATCTTGGGGCCCACAGTCTGGGTCCTGA